TCGTACGCGAAGAAAGCGATTTCAATTAAAATTTCCAAGTACACACCACGGATCGATCGTGTCGCCGTGAGAGACACACAACCGTAAGGATCTCCTTTGTGCCCCTCGATTGGCCTCGCGGAAGAAACCGCGATGTATTAGATAATCCGAAAGGAGAAAGATACCGTACGAATATAGAGACAGCGCACGGTATAATCATTACGTAACAGACGTCGAACGTAAACATTGCCCGCCTCAGCGATTATTTCAAGTTGAAAAAAAAGAAAAACAAGTCCAATCATTAGGAGCGTTAATCGAGTCACGGGAATGCGGGGTTCGACGTTCTGCCGCTCGATTGTAACACGAATGTTTTAATTCCTAACCGATAGTGACTGTCTGCCTCGATTTACGAGCGATTTTGATTTTTACGTAAACATTCGTTCGAGTTTCATTAAGCATAAAAGTCTATTTTCATATATTTGAAGCACGCGATTCTTAGGCACGAGAACTTCGAGAAAGTCGGTTTTATGGGACCAGAAACGATTACGATATTTATGCGTGGTCATTTATGACTGTTTAATTGATTCCCCAAGATACGAATACCTTGACGGAGGTCCATGGCCAGTGACCAAACATCCACGATCTTTAATTAACGAATATAAAGTACTTGCTTAACGGACTGCATCCGGTTCGTTCTAATATAACAAATTTGGTAAAAGGATAGAACTAAATTCAGTTAAATACAGACACTAATATAATGCTGCGTATCCACATTAGAGTCATTAACGAGAGTAAAACTCTCAAATGGATTCGTCACCAGCAGAAAACACAAAAAGTAAAATGTGTAACACCAACAAAAATGAATCGAAAATTTCTTCAAAGAGAAAGTAGAACAGATAATGTTATACACATTTCAATTTTTCCCAACAGGTTACTACGCGGACGAGGTGTCCGGCTGCCAAGTGTTCCACGTCTGCCACGACGTGTTGATCTCCTCGTTCCTCTGCCCGATAGGCTCACTCTTCAGCCAGAAGCTTCTGACCTGCGACTGGTGGACGAAGGTGGACTGTTCGTCCAGCGGCAAGTACATCGACGTGAACCGTAACAGCTACCAGCAAGACGACGACGAGATGATCAGGAACGCGTACGCGATGGTCAGCCTCCAATCGGGAACAGACGTGACCAAGGACGGTCTAGTGGACCCTGACAGAACAGGAAGCGTGATGGACTACCAGGGAGTGACGGGCAGGCTCTTCGATTATTCTCCGGTCGATTCGAACGGAAACGACCTGAGAAGCAACTTCGAGGACTACCCAAGACCCATCGTCCGTAATTTCCTTCCTCCTTATCAGACGAAGCCTAGAAAGCCAGAAACGAGTCGTAGTTACCAGGAAAGATTCTATCCTCATGAGAAGTCCAGGTCTCCGTACGAAGACTCGCCGATTATCAGAGTGCAGAACATCAAAGCTCCTGGGGAGCAAAGACCTAGAGACTTCCAGGAGAGCTATCGAAGGCCTAACGAGTTCAATAATCAGTTCCAACCATCCTATGCACCCACTGTACCCACTGTCACCACCACCACTAGAAGATTCTACTCTCCTACCGTTCCGACTACCTTCAGACCGTCCACCGTAGCTTATAACAAGCTGGACCAGGATATAGACAGCACAGACTACTTCTTCTCGCACAGTGGAACCAAGAGCTATGTCACTCCCCCTACGAGGTTCTTTCCTAATGATGATAGGAGGATCTTAGCAGATGGTTCAGGGAAGACGAAGTTGTTCGATGATTCGGTTCAGAGGAAACCAGAGAATGATTATAACCATAGGGACAGTTACGAGGATGACTATGGGAATGTGGAAGCTGGGGACGATAGGGGTGGTAGGTCCAGAGAGAGATTTGAAGTGAGAGTCCCGGAAGAGTTCCAGTTTAATCGGTCCAGTATTCCAGACGAAGCTCCTCTGTATAGCGAAGACTATAGAGGATACGACGAAATGGATGATATAGAGACAAGAGGAAGCATTGGTTTAGGTCACGCGTTGCGTCAGACAGACTATCATCATACTTTGGCAAGGCCAGTACCAACAAGTACCACTGAAATAGAAGAACAAACCACTGAACAATACCAAAGAGACGATCTAAGTGCCTCGGAGAGCTTCGAGCCTACAACTACTCCGTCTTACGTCGAAAGTACCATAAAGGCAAGCACTATATCCGGCAATTATACTTCTGAAGAGTCCGCAAAGAAGAAGGAAATTAGTGGTAGAATAAATACAGGCTACAAGCCTGAGGAATTCTTGAAACCACCTGAAACTCGCAGTAAATTCCAGATCAACGTGCCCGATTTGTCCCAAGTGTCCAGTTTGCTGATAAGATACTCAACTTTGGACGACGGTCCTTATCCTGGCACTAGAACCACAGAGCTACCGAGGCTCCAGAACACTTTCTCCGATGATTATATAGATCAACCGACTTTCTATGATGAAAACTTGGGAGTGACCAGCAACTACGGGGACGTAGAATTGTCTACAGTTTCTAGGTTTCAGAGTTACACTACGACTAAGGCTAGACCTCTGATTTCCTCCACTGGTCAGTGGTTTTCTTTGCCCTCTGATCGGCTAGAATCCAAAATTCCTGAATTCGGGACATCTTTGGTTCCCAGCAATCGAACTGAAGAGAAGATTGTTAATAATCATAAACAGATTGAACCTTCTAGTTCTGTTTCTATTACTCAATCCTCTGGTCAGACCAGTTCTGGGAAAATTAATGAGTCCAACGCAGAGTTCCTAAGACCTTCGTATCCTCCAGATTCCCCTGTTATTGACAGTTTCGGCGAAACTGCGACGCGAAGGCTGAGCAAAGAGACTTTGTCACCTTCGGTTACGAAATCGGTCAATATTGATTCTTCGGAGTCAGCGTCGAAGCCAGTTACGCAGAGAAGCTTAGGTAGATCGGGTAAGAAGCTAGAGGAGACCAAGGATAAAGAACAAACAATCGAATCCTCAACAGCAAACGCTCTCTTTAGAACGATCAATATTGATACCCTGAAACAAATCGAGGAAACCATCGAGAAACATAATTCTCCGTATCAGGTAACGGTGAGAGTGAATAAAGACGAAGAACTGGTGCCTAAAGGTGACTTGATCAACAAGCTCATCACCCAACAGGGTAAAGACGCGACCTTCAGTGACAAGATCCACAAGCTGGAGATAGTCAAATCGGTAGAACCAGAAATCCAAGCTACGACAGAACCAGAAGCTACCACAGTGAGTAGTATTTTAGATCTCGATAAACAACAAGATATGGAAACCAACTTCACCCATATGTCCATTGACTCAATGAAGAACTTCAATACCGTGAGTCTTCTTCAGTTGATGTCCGAGTTGCTAAGACTAGATCGAGCTCCCAGACCTTTCTCCTTAGGGAATGACAGATCAGATTCACAGGACCAGTCTCTTAGAGGCCAATCGATCGCCAAAGACGTGAACTCTAGTATGCAGACCGAAGAAGAAGATCCTAGATCGTTTGAAGAAGACTCTCCAGAGGAAAGTCCTGTCCCTTTGAAAGACAAGATCCTGGGCCAGTTGGCGGAGAACTTTGGCGAGCCACTCTATAGAACTGATCGATACTTCGATCTTCCACAGCCAGAGAGGTCTCTGGACTTCCAGACTGGGCTTCCTATCAAGAGTCAAAAAAGACACGAAGGGTCCAGCTTAAGCATAACAGCTGAAGCATCCTCTAAAGATAGCACTGAAGCGATCATCACGACAACCGCTGCGCCAAGAATCACTCTGACGACCGAGTCTGCGAAGACTGTGGTGAAGACAGAACTTGTTCCATCGATTGGGTTCTCCTTTGACACTGACGAGGGACGAGAGGAGTACGTGGAGGCTGTTTTAGGGGGTCTGATCGAGCCACAGCCTGCGGAGAGCGAGAAAAAGGAGATCGTTGTCGGGATGGCTGGAGAAACAATGTCCACGAAGAATGTAACCTCCGATAAAACCTTGGTGAAAGAGGATCGAACCTCGGGGACAGAGGTTTAGAGTATCGATGGTAACGAGAATGCGAATTTAGTTTTAGAACGAAGTCTGTGATGCGCTGTTTTACGATTTAGAATCCTGCGACCGTCCATACTTGGTCTTGTTTCCTTTTTGTTAAATGTGCTGGTTGAGTTTGAGAAGAGGGGCACAATACTTACGTAGTAGATCCTTTTTAAATCTTTGACGTTGAATTATTTGTCACTTATGAAATAATGTTCATTTATTTAACTACTTCTATATTTTTGCGTATTTCGTCAGTGAACTAGAAGGGCTATTAATGGATTTAGAATATATGTATTCTGTTCCCAGCTTTGAAATAACAGATGATGTTAAGAAATTTTGTGATAGAACGAAGTTTGTACTAGATCCTTTTTAACATGGTTTCGAGGAAAAGAACGATGGATTTTTTGTAGACACGTGTGTAGTTCGTGTACGTACGTGTGCCAGAGGGAATGGCGATCATGTAACTACGAAATTGTACCTTATGTAACCCCATACACTATGAGTTTTTTTTTAAATATATGTATTCGTTGTACGATTTATGCCCGTTTATCTCCTCTCCCGAATTTTTTCAGACAGAAATTCTCATCTTAAATCATATATTAAGTAGTTTTGTATGTTCCTGCGGAGTTTTGTTGATTGCCATGACAACATCGATACTCCGAGACTCGCAATTTACAAAGTTCGTTTAATCGATTCAAAGTGCAAACCGCGAGGTTAAGCTACTCGGAGTTCCCTCGAGAAAATCTGCAAACCTGTAACGCAATTAATATATACCTAATAAGTAAACAATTCGAGTTATTCTAGTTAAGTAATTATGGTTTCTAATTGGTGAAGTGAAAGAATAATACAAAAAAAGAGGCAGTGGTTCTCTCTAGATCTTAAACAATACATTAAGGAGAGTATAGAGTAATAGGTTGTTAACATATTTTTTCACAAAAATCTTTGAAACTTCTTTTGAATTATTTAATTCGATGAAACATGTTTGATTCGGAAATGAACATCGTGCAAAGCGACGTCGACGTCACGGAAGACGAAGAGAAAGACGAATTGGACGATGATGTTGATCTATCAAGCAGACATTCCATTATACACATGGATTATCGGTATTAAATAAATCTTAATTAAACACGACAATCGATTCAGATGAATGGAAGAACTCGATTTTCGTAGATTACAGTGGATACGAGATAGGGTGATGAAGTTCTTGGGGATAGCTGGCCACGAGCTTCTCTTCTACAAGCTCCTCAACGTAAATTATATTTCATTAATCGACATAAATGTGAAAAAAATGGTGTAGAATTAATATTCGATTCGACAGAATATGAAACTATTAGATTGTCACACTTAATTCAAAATATAGATTAATTTTCTTCTTGGAATTTCTTTAGTTTCTTACCATTCTTCATGTTCAGAGAATCAAAGATATTTTTATTACGCTAGGCGAACAATCGATACTACGAGGACAAGCTTCTAAATTTCTTAATACTCGATCTTTACGGCGTGACAGACCTCGAGAGAAAGGTAATATTCTTTTACAAGACTTACCATACAGAAGTCGTCCAAGAAGAAGTCACAGTCTGGGAAAGTAAGTACTACAAACTGGATGTATAAAATATTTGATACATTCTTAAAATATTAATTGGAAAAAATGAATGATTTTAATGTTGACGAATAACAGGCGTACACGCGAATAAACTGGCCACGCTGACAGCATTGGCAATGAAAGGGAAATCGCGTAGATTCAATGACGGTACTTGTAACTTATATCTCAAAGAAGCAATGTTCGTTCTGTCGTGCAATATTTCGATGGTTTCTTGTTAAAAAAATTTTTCATAGAATTCTGCTTCGGACGTTGCATGCGCATTACAGGATTTTTCTTAAACGACCAATTTCTTGTGAAATTGGACTGCTTGGAAGTAGCTCGAAATGTTAGAGATTAGTGTGATTGGAATACCATATCAGTACAGATTTTTCCCAGCAACCTTTACTTGCAACAGGGAAAAATAAGAAAGACAGCAAGAAAGTTCTCAAGCCGAAACCGTCCAAGAAAAAAGTGAAGAAAAGCAAATCGAAATTACCAAAATCGGATACCAGCGAAGTTTTCACTCTACTGGAACAATCTACCATGACTTTGCAATCGTATCAACCTTCCAGAATCAGCACGATCAGCGACGATGAAACGGAAGAGGAGGAGGAAGAGGGTGCTGGGGAGGAAGAGGAAGAAGAAACTGAAGAGGAATTTCTGGAAAGGGGTAGCGGCGATACTTTGATTCTGTCGCAAAGAACCAACCAGAGTGTTCCTCTTACCCCGAGTAAATAGATTCAAAAAACTCAATAAAAATATTACTTAATAGCCACAGCACTCACTACTGTCCTGAAGAATTCCAAACATCTTCACGTTCAGACATATGGTTGCTTTAGCTAATAATTAAACGGTTTCGAAACCGTAATTACTCTTTCAGATACCTCAAGCACTACACCGCCACCTAAAAGTGAGCAGAAATACATGGCGAAAAAAGTACGAGGATCCCTTTAATACCAGTTTAATGAAGTATAAGATGAAAGTTGGAATAAAAGATTTCGTCGAATGTACAGATCGAGTGAAAAATGATTGCAGAAAATGATCGAGAGAGTGAGGTATACACCTGTCATCCATATAATATGCGGCGAGGTGGACGGAGGAAGGGCTGATCTGCAGGACGTCACCTTGTTCTATTTCCTGAGGACCACCGACGAAGGCGTGCCGTCGTTCGACTCTGAGAAAGAATGTTTGGAGGAGATCACCCGTTATCTAGTCGTTGGATCCCTTCACGGAAAGTTTTTAGTCAGTCTGAAGCGAATGTTCACTCAGGTACCAAGATATTATCCTGGTCAATTAAATTCTGTAACATTCAGAAACAATTTTATAAACGTTCCAAAGAGTTGTCTTGTTTGAAGAGCATAGAGTGTTGAGATCAAGTCTGTACTTTCCACAGGTGTTCAAACCACTGGTGCAAAACCAGTTCCGAGGTCCACAATTCGTGGACGTTTCTCAAGTTCCAGAAGAATCCGACGACGACGAATTATTGAATTCCACGCAGATCATGCAGTCTCGAGTACGTTGACTAACCCAACGGTTTTAGTTATACAAAATAATTTGTAGTTTCGTTAAAATCTGTCTTACGATATCGAACGAGCAGAGTTCAGTGTTCCGAAGACCCTCGGAGTTTCGCAGAGTGTCCCTAGCGGTAAAGAAAATGCAACATGAAACTGAGGAGAACGATGACGATAAATCGGCACGTGTATATCATCAAGGTGCAAAGGAACCAGGGAGTCTTAGGGCGGAAAATTTTAAAAAACGAGAGGAAAAGTACGCGAAGAATTTGTCCGCCGTCAGTTTCAACGAGATGGCAGAGGACGAGACTGAGGAGGATCCGGTTAGGATCCGAATGCACGATCAAAGCAAAAAAGATATCCTGACGTATTTGAATAATTTGATAACCGGTGTCGAATGGTAGCTAAAAAAATTGTATTCACTTGTGACTTCGCGATCTTGCAATTTTAATTCGGAAATTTTGCTAATCAGGACTCTGGAACACATCGAGGGCGACATTCTGCTGACGATGCCGAACATCCCGGAACTGGAGGATTCACAAGTCACAGAGGAGATGTTAGAGACCAACACGGAAGTGATCAAGCAGCTCGAAGACGTGATAATGTCCTGGGGAGTGCACATACAGAAAGTACTGATATCATTCAGATAATTCTATTTGTATTCCATTTTTGTTAGTACAACTTTATTCATGAGTTACCTGCAAAGGGATATCTACAAAGACTTGGACACAACTTTGTGAAACGACGGATAATGTAATGGACTGGCAAGAAATATGAACGTTTCAGGTATTGGAATCGTTTCAAACGAAAGTGGTCCAAGGGAAAGGGCCGCTAGCTGAGTACAGTTACTGGCAGGACCGAGACACAGGATTATTGATGCTGGTCGAACAGCTGAAGACACCCATGGCACGAAGAATATTGGGACTGTTGAACAAAGTGCTTTCACCGATCGCCTCGAATTTCGAGTACTTTTACGCGGATCTGTGGAAATATTACATGGAGGCCAGGGACAATGTTCGATTCCTTCAGACTCTGCACAGATACTTCAAAGTAAAAAGAAATATCCTTATCAACAAAAAAACACAGACAAATCGTTGGTTCTTAAGAGTAAATCATTTCACTTAACTATTTTGTCTGTAGTTGATCGCAGAATCGGACGATTTCAAGTCCGCCATGCAATCAATTCAATCACTGACGGAAGGATTGAGAATGATTTGGGTCCTCTCACCCTATTACTCTTCCGAAGAGAAAATGATGGGTCTAATGGAGAGAATATCTTGGCAACTCTGTCAGACGGTTATCAACAATCTGAGCGTCAAAGATCTGTTCAAGTTAGTTGGTTCAATAAACATATTACAACTTCTGGCTATTTCTAAACAGTTGAAACATTGTTCAAATTCTCTGGTGAGCACTAAAACATTAAGGGATGTTTCAAAAGTATTTGCAACATTTCAAAAGTACTCATTGTCAGTCTTAACCCTTTAACGTCCAGACTCTCAAATAATTATTCTAAAACTATAAGACTGATATGTTGCATCTTGTTACTTTAAAGTCGAAAATATCGATATAAAATCAATTGTTCATTTTTAACACTTTAACGCCCAAACACCTCTTCTGGGGGAAAAAATTATTTCTCTCTTTTCACGATTAATACTGGTTAAACCAGTTAAACATTACATAACATTGTAGCACGATACAAGACGATAATGGAATTCGAAATGTTGCACAGGAAACCACTCGAGGAGATTTTACAGAAGACAGAGAACGCCCACGTGATGCTGAGGAGGTGGAAAATCTCGTACTTGAACGTCAGGGAAGAGATCGAGCTCTCGGGCAAAGGGTCACGCTGGGAGTTCGATCAGAAGAAGCTGTTCAAGGGAACCGAGTACATAGCGTTCGTCTGCAAGGATCTGAACCAAGTCGCAAGTGTTCTTCAGGATTTCTACAACATCTTCGGCCCGTATCTGAAGTCCATCATCAGCGATCCGGCCCAGATCGACACTATAATAAAGCGAGTCAGTCGACTGATTCTGCCGATCCAGGACGCGGACTTTAACGTCTACGACGAGTTCAACAAAGAGAACTGGGAGGCCACCATATCCCTGTTCTACGAAGAGGTTCGTTTTCTGGAGAACGAGGCCCGATTCTTCATCGACGAGTGCTTCATGGTCCTGATAAGCGCGGAACAAGCGTTGGAGGTGTTGCTAATGTTCAAGAATATGAAGACCAGAGCGAGCATCCAAGAACAACTATCGAGGAAGTTCGACGTCATTGTGCAACAGTTCAATAAAGAAGTCAGCGCTGTAGAGGGCATATATAACAGAGGTACGATCCACAGGGTGTCCGAACTAACGTGAGCTACCTTCGATATCTCACTTGTTTCTGAGGATACAACAAAAATGTAGGGTGAAAGTATTATTTCGTAAGAAGGAGTAAATACTATGATATGCAAAAATTTTCCAAGGTCGTCGATGTTTTTTTTTAAATGGAACTACATATTTTTATCAGCGTTGAGTAATAGTTGAGATTACGACCAATCCAATGATAACAGTGAGACCTTCATGTAACCTCGAGTGAAAAAAATCCACAAGTGTGTGACAGTAGACTTAAATAATAAAATAACTACACTAGAGGGGTTAGTGCAAAAATATTTTAATAGTAAAAATAAAATATCCTAAAAGTAGTTGTGTGAATTTATAGTATTGTGTTATCTACCCCTTTTCCACTAAACCCCTCAATTATCGAAAGTAAGGGTGGTCATCAAATTATGAAAGTCGAAATTGTTGCAGGAAAACGAAATCCACCTTTGTTAACCTACCATCCGCCAATGGCTGGCGCTATATTCTGGGTCAGACAGCTGTTCCATCGTCTGAGAAGACCGGTCCTGACCCTGCAGAAGGTCCCAGAACTGAAGCACAGTCAATTGAAGCTCGTCGCGTTCAGCCAGTACCTCGAAGTTGGCAAACAGATGAAGGCTTTCGAGGAATCGAAGTTCCACACGTGGGTGGATAACGCTCAGGTGGTCGTCTTGAACACCATGAAGAAAAGCATTCTGAGGATCGTTCAGTCTGAACCGGACAAAGGTTCGTATCTAATGCTTGTTCGATGAAATAATGTTAAAATTAAGATTAGGATAAATTAGAGAGTAATATAATAATTAATACAGGTGTATTAACGTTCCCGGATAGTGAAAAGCGAATGAAGAACGTTCAGACGATTCACGTGTCGCGAAAGGCGAAGACCAGGGACTTTGGATCTCCTGGATCAACGCCTCTGGGATCTGTTCACAAGGGCGAACATTTGTTATCGAAACCTAGCATTTGTAAATTGAACTTAATTGATAGCCGTAGTGTAGATCTGAATTTGGGTTTTAGTTTGGGCTGGAGCTTAATCGATGTTGCGTTGAAATTAAAGTTCGAGCTTCAGTTTGAACTTGAGCTTGAAGAGTACTTTGTACAACGAAAATTTATACAGAATTTGAGTCCATATATTTTATGATTTGCTAGCATCTAAAGGGGAGCACACCTCACGTGCTGCCAGTTCGGCAATGGCTGGCTCAAAGGGACAGCTTCGAGAGATGAAGCAAGAACAAAAGGGGATAGCATCGGCTTATAAAGAAAAAGTATCAATGGCATCAGTCTCGATGGACAAAGGAACGTCTCAAGCAATAAAGATGACCTGGACGGAATTTATGAGCGGCTCGCTTCTGATCGAATGCCAGCTTCGTTTCCAAGTGAACTTCAATTGGGAAGTTTTCGAGATTATTCACGAGGTATGTGAATAAAAATCGAGTCAAACCGGTTTTTAAATATTCCACCTATATCTATATTCGTCTACAGGCTGAATTAATGGAACAGCTGGGCTTCGAATTGTCACCGGCGATAAAAGAAGTTAGCATTCAGAAGGATCGATTGAGAAAGGATCTCGATGCCCTTCAAAGAGTCATAGATCAATACAACACGATGATAGACAAGATGGAGAAGGCTGACGTACGTTTCTTTACCGCATAATAGATTGGAAGAAAAACATTTTGTAATTATTTCGTATTGAGGTAGATACAATTATTGAAAACCATTCTTCTGGACATCGAGAAGCACATTCAACCAGGAGTGATGCGCATCAACTGGGACTCCTTGAATATATTGGATTTAGCCCATAATTGCGAGAAACTGTTGAAGAATCTGAGCTCCATAATGGACCAAGTGAACCATATGAAAAACGATCTCGACAAGAGAATCACTGCCGATATACAGAGATACAATCTGTTCTGTTTACCGTCTGAGAAGTTCGAGAGCGATGTGATACTACCTTGCAAGGTTTAACTCACATTCGCACCTTTTAGAATTTTAACATTCATGAATCATTAACCCTCCGTGACCCCTCTTATTTCTACTACTTCTGTCACCCCACCTTGGGTCTTTTATACCCAGACCTATTTTTTTTTATCTTATCAGCTTCCGAAAAAATCTGAAAAAATTCAGAGGTACTTCCCAAGGACTCTACTACATGATCCAATCATTTTTAAAGTTGAATGCTAAAAGGTTTTTTTTAATAACAATTCTTTGGTTTCGGATATATTTGAGCAGGAAATTTCACTTGTGTCGTAAAACACCCATAGAGGTCACGGAAGGTTAATAAGCAGTTTCTTCAAAGTTACCATTCAGAGAAAATTATTGGCTTGAATGAAGTACAGGTCAAAGCCATTATCAAGTTGAGAATTAAACAAATTACCAACTGCTTCTAAATATTACTAAAAGTATATTTTAATGGGCCCATTTCTGAATTGTCGTTACAAGGTTTACTTCCAAGAGATACACAGTCGAAGAAAAGAAGTGGTCACCTGGATGAGGAAGCTCTACGAGTCGACCAGCCCGCTGTTGATGAAACTCGAAAGCTTGGTGCTGGGAACGGCCACTGGGAAGAGCTCGGCCATGCAACTCTTCTACGAGAAATACGAGAAGATATTGTTCTCTGCATTCATAAGGTACACACGGTTTGTCCACACAAATCTACATTACTTCGTATGGAACTCGGCATATCGATTGAAACTCAGGTCTGTGGTGCAGAACATCGAAGTGTTCAACAACACGCTGACAGGTTCCAAGCCGATCTTCCAAGTGGAAGCAGTGTTGATCGCGTCCGAAGCGGTTCTAAGACCCTCGCCTAGTGAAATGTACAACATTATCCTTCAAAACGTGAAAGGTATGGTGGAGGAGCTGAAGGGTTTCCCGAGGTGGATGAACGGGACCTGCCTGGAGTGCAAGCCTCAGAAAAGAATGGACTCGGGCGATTACGTGACGTTCAGTTTCTTCGAGGATGTCATGAGCATTCAAGTAAAACAACTAAAAACAATTCAAACAATTAAGTATCTTATTCTGCGACTATACAGAGTGATCCAATAAGAATTAGCACAATACACAATTCTATTGTACAATCCTCAATTCTGGAAGTGATGCCAAAGTCTATGTTGTCCCAGGTTCTGGAGAACCTTGTCAAACTTATCAGATTACAATGACTAACCAAGCTGGCCAATGAGGAGGCCAGCGTTATACGTCGAGCTTTTAAAGGAAAGAAATTTAATAACGATTGCGTATCGTATCGTGAATTTGTTTTCAGGTGGTCAACGACAGTATACTGGCAATCCAAACGACAGCGCAGAAATTGTTGGCCGATTGCTGGCATTATCTGCTCAGATGGAAGAAGTACAGCAATCTCTGGACGTTCGACAAGACCTTGGCCGCCGAGAAGTTCGACGCCACGTCACCGACACTTTTCCAGTACGACGAGAAGTTCACGTTCTACGAGAATATTCTCGAGGAGCTGAATGAGATTGACTCTCACTACGATTTGAACTGCATACGGTAATCGGTTTAAATAGTTAATGAAATAAATAATTGTTTGCCAAGTGTCTCCTCATTCAAGAAGAAATATCATTTTATCGCAACAATAATTTCCACGTTCAATCAATCAGAAATGCCAAAGTACATTTTTTATCTTTCATTCGTTATACGAAACTCTTTATCTAGATAGTGAATTTGTCAATCCCTGACGATAATAACCATCATCTTCCTAAGCCCCTTGTATCGTCCTTCACCCAGTGTCATTATTTATAAATACCACTCTCGAGAAGAGCACGCTTGTTTATTTCTAATTATATAGACAGCACAGATTGCATTTCACCCGTAAGTATGATTTTTTAAAATTCACACGATCAGCATCAATCTTCGATCTCTGCTCTCTGGTATCGAGAAACACGCGAAAGAATGGAAACAAGTGCTGGGAAACTTCTTGCTGGCCCAAACCGTCGAGGGTATGAACGAGTTGCGTCTGATCATCGAGAACTTCCGTACCGAGGTCGAGCTGGTGATCACTGGTCTAGATCGCTTCACGTCTGTCATGCAGGCGATCTCTGACATTAAGAAGACCGCTGTCCAGGCTGAAGTTCGATTCAAGACTTATCAGGTATATTTTCTCCAGATCCATTTTTCGTTCCTGACGAATGAAATTTTTCTTTCTAGCCCAGTTGTAGACCAGTATTTCGAAATATGTTTCAGGAAACGTTCAAAACCTGTCGCCATCACGGTATCTCCTTCCCCGAGGAAGAAGAACAAATGGCATATGATCTTCAACGTGATTGGGAATCTCTTTATTTGGGTGCATTGTACAGAGCCTCAACTCTTGAAAGCACTTCCGATAGGTTCTCGGACATGACCAAAGAACAGATAGACAATTTCGTGGACGAGCTCAAGCAATTCGCTACAGACTTCGAGGAGAATGGTCCTGGTAGCGTTGGGGAACAACTTGAGCATGGACTGAAGAAAATGGACGTACGTTTGCAAAAAGTGTTAACTAATTTAATAGAGTCCAAAGTAGCAACACTGAATTTTCCATACGAAAATCCTAACAGGAATATGGCAAGAAGATCACCAAGCTCGAGGACAGAAGACAGGGCATGATCAACTCGGAGCTGCTGTTCGATCTTCCAGCGACCAATTACTCGGTGTTCCTGAATGTAAAGAAGGACTACGAGGGCATGGAAGGACTTTACGATATGTACAAAGAGCAGAAAAAAGCCAGAGACCAGTGGGCCCAGACGCTCTGGGTGAATCTGAATCCTCAGCAACTGATCGACGGCATGGATCATTTCATCAGGCAATTCCGAAAGTTGCCCGAATACGTGCGGAAGTTCAACATAGGCCAGACTCTGGATGCGGATATGAAGAGCTTCAAGAACTCAGTGCCATTATTCATCGAGCTGAAAAACGAGGCTATGCGCGAGAGACACTGGAAGGAACTGATGAGAAAGACTGGACAGTATTTCGATATGAACCCCGACAGGTGCGAGAACGACTAATGAACGATGGCTATTAGTTTAAGTTCTGGGACGACTTATGTGATTGGTGTCAGTGTTATGGAACTGTGTTTTGGACACTCTTCTTTATATTTTTACTGAAAATCTGAGGAGAAGTTTTTTGGTGGATGACTAGACAACTTCTTTTCCGATTGAAGAGCATCTAGGAAATCCAAAATTAGAAATTCAAGTTTCTAATTTTGTTTTCTTTATAGGTTTCTCTAAATATTATTACTCTAATTTATGACCCTGTTTATATTCATATTTTTTTCTATGATAAAATGTATCGGTAGCTTAAATACAGTATTGGTAATTAGAGAATGAAGCAGGTATTCCTTCGTGGCTAATTTTCAGGATCTAACAGATCATTTCTGTGCACTTTTTTTTAGAGGGTACTTAAAGTTAACGATTTCTAAAATACTGTATATTCGAAGGAAAAAAATAAGATAAAGAGTGTTTAGATAATGGAACAGAACGAGATAAAAATACTGAAGGGGTGAGTCGATCGTACGCTTACGTAACAATGCAATAATTAATACTGATAATTTTGTAAATTTACGGCTTGAAGGTTCACTCTGGACAACATGTTCGCGATGGAGCTGGGAAAGTACCAAGACATCGCCAAAGAGATTGTAATGAACGCCGTGAAAGAGCTCTCCATAGAGAAAGGTCTGAAAGATTTGAACGAGGTCTGGAAGACCATGCAGTTCACTGTCGTGAAACACTATAAAGGTACACTAATCGCCGTTCCACTGATATTTATGTAACCTTATACTCCCATAGGCTATTTTCCAATCATACTGTCTACTATTTACCCTCTTAATTCAAGAGAACACTACGACGACATCTCGCAATTCTTCGGTCTTTGTTTTGGTTATTCGAGAATACCAAAATTAATTACACCGTCATTTTTCTAACGATCCAAACAACATTGTATTAAAGTTCGATGAAAGATTTCTTCTTTCACCTTTTCGATCGATCTTCAGGCACCGAGGACCGTGGATTCATTCTCGGCCCAATTGACGAGCTGAACCAGGTTCTAGAAGACAATATGATGAACGTAAATGGCATGGCTGCCTCGCAGTTCATCGGTCCCTTCCTCAGCACCGTACAGAAATGGGAGAACATCATGCACACCATATCCGAGGTTCTAGAGCTTTGGGTTCAGCTTCAGAAGAAATGGTTGTACCTTGAGGGTATCTTCGTGGGTGGCGACATACGATTACAATTGCCAGACGAGGCAAAGAAGTTCGACGAGATCGACAAATCGTTCAGGAAGATCATGACGGACACCTCGAAAAGGGTGTTCGTTCTCGATTGTTGCATGATCTCAGGTACAATGGATTTTGTTTCTGACCACAGACTTCTCAAAGAAAGCAGCCAAACTTATTATCTTTTCTGTTGTACTTGAATCACCTGTAAACATCTCTTCAGGTCGTAAGGATGAATTCGAATCGATGATCCATGGCCTGGACAAGTGTCAGAAGTCTCTCACCGATTATTTGAACTCGAAACGCGCTGTGTTCCCGAGATTCACATTTCTCAGCGACGACGAACTTCTGAACATTCTTGGCAGCGGCGTACCCACAGCGATCCAAGAGCACGTGGGCAAAATGTTCGATAATCTGGATAAATTCCGGCTCGAGCACAGCACCACCGACAATGTGATGGCCACGGCGTTGATTTCCTGCGAGAACGAGGTGATGGACTTCCGTAACCCGGTGCTCGCTGAGGGGAAGATCGAAGAATGGATGGTGGTTGCCACCGAAGAAATGAAAAAGTCGAATAGATACCTGACGAAGAAAGCGGTGTACGATTACGGAAAGGTTGAATAACAGAAATTTCTTCGCAATAAATCAATTTTCAAGGAAGCAATTTTCAAAGGTAACCGAAAGAAGACGATGTTTTTTTAGGTGAGAAGACCTAGAACAGAATGGATGCTGGATTTCCAAGGTATGATGATCCTCGCGGCGGATCAAATATGGTGGACGGCCGAAGTGGAAAATGTATTTGTGAAAATATCCCATGGCGAGAAACGTGCGATGAAAGAGGTACCTCTAATTGTATTAGACACCGATGGGGCTGCAGAGACTATAGAAGACTTCGTAAGGATCTCAAGGTGTTGATATTATACCTTCCAGTACTTGAAACAACTCAATGATCAATTGAACGAAGTTGTGACCTTGATGGGCGGTGAAACACTGACGAACAACGACAGGAAGAAGTTCGACATGGTACTGACGATCGACGTTCATATGAGAGACATTATCGAGGGCTTCGTCAGAGACAGTATCATAGACCCTATGGAGTTCGAATGGGAGAGTCAGTTAAGGTTTGCTCCAACGAATTACTACCGTACCTGAAACCCCTAATATCGAATCTCGACTATAATGGACGATTCGATCATTTTCCATGAAGATTTTATTGGGTCCATGATCTGGACAACGTCTGGATGCACCAATGCACCGGAACATTCGAATACGGATACGAGTACATGGGCTTGAACGGCAGACTTGTAGTCACGCCACTGACCGATAGGATATACCTGACCATCACCCAGGCCCTCTCTATGCACCTGGGCGGTGCACCTGCAGGTCAGCGTGTGTCACATATAATTCTTGATGCAACGAATGGACTTTCTTATACAGGGCACCTATAACAAGTCATCTGAATATCTCGACTGTTACTGGTGACAGAAAAAAATGTGTCAGACCAGACTTGCATGATATCGAGAAGCACATAATTTGATGTGAATAGTTTTTTGATAGGTGGACGCGTAGAAGTTATATAAAGGTCACCTTCGTTTTTTTTTTAAATGGAAAGCCATGTGTTTTTTACGTATCTTTTAGATACAAGTTTGGCCTACATTTTTTTCTATCACCAGTAACAGCCGAGATATCCAGGTGGCGTGTTTTAGGTACATCACTCTATATACTCGAAGGTAACATTATTTCGTACATTACGTAAAAGGCCCCGCTGGAACTGGAAAGACAGAGACCACCAAGGACCTGGCCAAAGCTTTAGGGCTACTCTGTATCGTGACAAATTGTGGAGAAGGGATGGATTACGTGGCTATAGGGAAGACGTTAAGCGGGCTGGCTCAATGCGGAGCGTGGGGATGCTTCGACGAGTTCAATCGTATCGACATCTCTGTGCTATCCGTGATCTCTACGCAACTGCAAACTATACGATCCGCGTTGCAGGTGAAGGCGAACAGGTTCAGGGTAATCCACTTCGTTTCCTTTCCTCGATAACATTATAACGAGACACAGGTCCGTTGGAAATTTCCGTGAATTCTGCTCTCTTCTCAGTTCGAAGGTCAAGATATAAATCTCGACACGAAAGTGGGCATATTCATCACAATGAATCCCGGTTACGCTGGACGCACGGAACTACCAGAGTCCGTGAAAGCGTTATTCAGGCCGGTGGTCTGCATAGTTCCAGACAACGAGCTAATCTGCCAGATAAAACTCTTCAGTTCCGGCTTCTTGACCGCCAAAGTTCTTGCCAAGAAGATGACTGTACTGTACAACCTGGCACGGGAGCAACTGAGCAAACAGAATCATTATGATTTCGGTCTGAGAGCCCTCAAATCGGTGCTCAACATGGCGGGCCAGCTGAAGAGAACCTCGGGCGACCTTGAGGAGAACGTGGTGCTTATGAGAGCCCTGAGAGACATGAATCTACCGAAATTTATTTACGACGATGTTCCTCTGTTCATGGGACTCATCGCTGATCTATTTCCCGATCTTTCCTGTCCCAGAGTACATTATCCAGATCTCAATGAGGCTATTAATCAAGTCCTTGAACAGCATGGGTACTCTGTCTTGGAGGAACAGGTGAATAATTCACACATCAAGACCTTACAGATAGATCGGGGATGTAATTTATGGTTCTTTTTAAACTAGATCGACAAAGTGGTTCAGCTGTACGAAGTAATGATGACCAGACACTCGACGATGGTGGTTGGACCCACAGGAGGTGGCAAAACTGTCGTGATTGAAACTCTATGCAAAGCTCAAACTCGACTGGGCAGACCAACGAAACTTTACACCTTGAATCCTAAGGTATAATGAATATTACTTAAAAAATAAAGATGAGATAGTGATAGTTGAAATTAACACAGGCGTGCACAGTGGTCGAACTCTACGGCGTGCTGGACCCAGCAACTCGCGATTGGACAGATGGTCTATTGAGCAACATCTTCCGTGAAGTGAACAAACCCCTGGAAGCAGATTCGAACGAATTACGATATATTCTCTTCGACGGTGACGTCGATGCTCTGTGGATCGAGAACATGAATTCCGTTATGGACGACAACAAACTGCTGACCCTGGCTAACCAGGAGAGGATCAGAATGCTGAACCATTGTAGCTTATTGTTCGAGGTAATTTCTGAATTTAATGAGTAAATGTTTATTCAATTAATGATCAGTAATTATATCCTTCATCTTTTTATTCGTTACTCGAAAGTTCACGTCAATCCTTTCACGATGAAAAAAATTGGAAACTTAAGACTGAAAGTGATCACTCAGCCAAGTGAATCCTGATTTTCACGTTTGTTCGTTGCAAAAGGTAGGCGATCTCCAGTACGCCTCACCGGCGACGGTGTCGCGAGCCGGGATGGTGTACGTGGACCCGAAGAACCTCGGCTACCAGCCCTACATGGACAAATGGGTACGGAGCAAGAACGAAACCGATCAGGAGCAGCTGAACGGAATGTGCGAGAAATACGTGGACGGTGCAATCGAGCTCATTATACACGGCATGCTCGGCCTGCAAGCGGTCAAGCCGCTCAGGATGATCATACCACAAACCGGACTAAACATGGTAACAATTAGATCTTTATGGGCTAATTAACTCGACTTTCTATGGGCGTTCTAGACTCGGGGAAGAAGCAAATTGATGGGTTTTTATATACGAATTGTTTGATTTTTTCGTGGAACTAAATATTGTATTACAATAGTACCTTAACGGTAGATATTATACAGATGTATCTACTATCAAGGTACCATTGTATCTCTGATACATTATTTTAATTTTTTTATTTTCAGGTAACTCAACTTTGCTACGTCTTCGATGGTCTTCTGTCGGTTTTAAACGAAGTATCGACCAAAGTTACGGAAGACGAAGACCGGTTGGTGGAACAAAACATCTCCAGAGAAGAAGTTCTCGAGGCGATGTATATACAGGCCTGTTATTGGTCGTTGGGAGCTACTCTAATCGCCGAAAACAAGTCTGACTTTGACGATTATATGAAGAAGACCGCAGGTTTTATGCTCGTTCAGGACACACCTGAGAAACTAGCTACTGTTCGTAAGTTCCACTCGTTTTAATTCTATTAGGTATACAGCAATACAAAAACCTTTCTTTCCGTGTAAAAAATATATTTAACGATTCATCACCAGGATATCTCCCCGTAACTTTCAAGATGCTCTACGACTACCATTTGGACATCGAACAAAATGTTTGGATACCATGGGCGTACCTGGTCCCCAGGTACATCCACGACAGACAGAAAAATTTCTCAGATATTCTGGTTCCCACCGTCGACACATTAAGAACAACGTGGTTCGTTATGACGATGAATAAACTCGACCGACCGGCGCTTCTGGTTGGCGAGACGGGCACCTCGAAGACCGCCATTATCCAGGAATTTCTTCGAAACTTGAGCTCAGAAAAATACGTGAGTTTTTGTACATATATGCAACAATGTACGAAGATCTTTTTAATAGGATTCTACTTTTGTGACGGCGTATAGAATCAATTACTGATCAACTTCTCTTCGAGAACGACCTCGATGGACGTGCAAAGGAACATAGAGGCGGTCGTCGAAAAGAGAACAAGAGAAACTTTTGGACCACCACCTGGCAAACGTTTATTAGTCTTCGTAGACGATATGAACATGCCAGTGGTGGACACTTATGGTACCCAGCAGCCGATAGCTTTGCTGAAGTTTCTGTTCGAAAAGGGAGGATTCTACGATCGGGGGAAAGATCTTAACCTGAAGTACATGAAAGACCTCTGTAAGTTGGATATCATTGTTTAAATAAGAGAAACATTAAACATAGCTCTAAATACTTGGAACAGATAGTACTCCGCCTGTAGTGGATTATTAATCTCACCAGATCTAAAATTATCAGTGAAAAATTCCTTCCAGGCTACCTAGCAGCGATGGGAAAGCCTGGAGGAGGCAGAAACGAAGTGGATCCCAGATTCATCTCAATGTTCTCTGTCTACAACGTCACAATTCCATCCGAGGAAACTCTGAACTACATTTACACGAGCATATTGAATGGACACCTGGAGATATTCGATGAAGATGTACAAACTATCTCTGACATCTTGGTGCCGATTACACTGGAACTCTATCAGGTTCTCCCCACTCTTCCACGTGTCTTACATCAACTACGATCTATCATTTCACTATTTATTTTCTGTTCATTTATTAGGTAGTTACCACAGAGCTGCTACCAACACCGAGCAAATTCCATTACCTCTTCAACATGAGAGATCTGTCGAGGATCGTTGCTGGTCTCCTACAGAGCCATCCCGAATACCTGTCCACGACGAAGCAAATCCTCAGACTCTGGAGGAACGAGTTCACCAGAGTGATCTGCGACCGTCTGATCAACGAAGAAGTAATGATAATTTAATGAAATATAAAGTCACACAAATATAATAATATAATATGTGGCTTGTTAACTTATAGGATCAAAATCTTGTTGCCACGCGTATAAAGGAGAAGATTGAAGAGAAGTGGGAGGAGGACCGAACAGACCTGATCGCCTACACCTTAAGGGATCCTCTGCTCTTTGGCGACTTCCGGAACGCCATCAACGAAGACGACCCTCGGTTCTACGAAGATCTGTTGGACTACGAAGCCGTCTATAGTCTGTTCCTAGAGGTTATATACTCTATTATATCAATGCTGACAGGTACCATAAAAAAACACAGATCAACTTTTCACATCGTAAACACTAACGTTGACAGATATACGAGGACTATAACGAGAGGAGCACGACGAAACTCCACATGGTCCTCTTCAACGATGCCCTCGAGCACCTGACCCGAGTGCATCGTACATTAAGAATGCATCGAGGTCACGCTCTGGTGATCGGTATCGGCGGTAGTGGCAAGAAATCGGTGATAAACCTGGCTGCGTTCGCGGCGCAGTTCAAAACCTACGAAATCAGCCTGAGTCGTGGATACAACGAAACCACCTTCCGAGAGGATATGAAGAGTCTCTACAATAGGGTCGGAGTGAACATGGAAAGGATCGTTTTTGTATTCACGTCCTCTCATATCGTCGATGAGAGTTTCTTAGAGTTGGTGAATAATATGCTGATGACTGGTGTAGTACCGTCCCTGTTCAACGACGAGGAGAAGGATGAGATCGTGAATCTTTGCAGGGATAAGGCTAAAGAAGCTGGTTTCGGAGTGAACAAGTAAAATTGCACAACTTTCCATGCTAGATAATTAAAAAATATCATTTCTTTAACTAGAATCAATTGGGTATCGAGCTATCGAAGAATTAATCAGGGTATCTTTTTTTATACAGAGAGAACGTATGGTCGTATTTTGTGAAGACCAGCATGTCGAATTTGCGAATCGCTTTGTGCATGAGTCCATCCGGGGATCTGTTAAGAACTAGATGCCGAAATTATCCTGGCCTGGTGAACAGCACCACCATCGACTGGATGTTCCCCTGGCCTGAACAGGCTCTGGTAGCGGTGGCTAATGCTACTCTCAGAGACGTAGGTCTACAATACAATGGCATGCTTTGATATTTCCATGATTTACAAAATTATTCGACACTTTCGTTTATTTTAGAACCCAAATGTACCGCAAGAGTACAAGGAGAAGTTAGTCGAGCACATGGTGTACGTGCACAAAACCGTCTGCGAGCACACGATCGAGTTCCAAACGAAGCTGCGAAGAAGAAACTACGTGACACCGAAACATTATCTGGACTTCATAGACACCTATCTGAATCTTTTGCTGGAGACTAAAGACTACATAAATTCGCAATGCGAACGACTGTCTGGAGGTATTCTATGGATTGAAATATTTGAAATTCGCTCGAGAATCGAATTTGGATGCTAACATGAGAATCGGAACTTTTGAATCTCGATTGTAAATATTATACTCGATAGGTTTGAAGAAGATCGCCGAGGCATCGGTGACTCTGGGCGAGTTAAATGAGATTCTGGCGGTGCAGAGGGTGAAGGTGGCGGATCAGACGAGGAACTGCGAGCAATTGCTCGCTTCTATAGGTGAGAGCACGGATATTGCGATGGAGAAGAAGCAATTGAGCGTGGAGAAACGTCAGGAGATCGAGACTCAGAGGAAAATTATTAATAAAGAACAAACGGAAGCCAGACAGGCGTTGGCCGAGGCGCAACCCGCCCTAGAAGCTGCTCGGATGGCTCTGTCGGAACTGGAGAAAGCGGATATTACTGAAATCAGGTAGTTCTTGCACCCCTTGCTTAATAGAAAATCTAATAAAAAGTCGATCCTTCTGGAAGTTAAATGCAGCGAATTCAATTTATATCTAGGTTTATTCACAATTCCTTTCTTTCGAACAAGCTTCAAGTTGATATTGTTTACACTGAAATCAACCTTTCTCAGATCGTTCGCAACACCTCCAGAGCCCGTGCAAATAGTCAGCGAATGTGTGGCCATGTTGAGGGGCATCAAAGAGATCTCGTGGAAAAGTGCGAAAGGAATGATGAGCGATCCTGCGTTCCTGAGAACGTTGCAGGAGATGAACTGCGATAAGATCACCCTGAAAACGCAGCAAGCGGTCAAGGCACATTTGAGGAAGACTACGAAACTGGACCAGATGCAAAATATCAGCAAAGCCGGTTTTGGTCTGTACAAGTTCGTGCTCGCTGTGTTGGACTACTGCGCTGTCTTTAGAGAGGTAAGTGATACATTCTAAAATTATTCTAAAATTATAATAACATCAACGATTCTTCTCAGGTGAAACCGAAAATCGATCGAGTCACAGAGCTAGAAGCAGAATCGGAACGAGCTAGAAAAGCATTAGAGAGAGAGGAACGAGAATTGAGGAGAATCGAAAAGGCCATAGGGGAACTGAATATCAAGTATGAGAATGCGATGGGGGAAAGGCAGAAGCTGCAAGAGGAAACTGACATTCTTCAGAGACGATTGATAGCTGCGGACAAATTGATCAACGGTCTGTCCTCGGAGAACGAACGATGGAAAAAGGAATTGGAGAGCTTGCACGGAGAGATCGAGATGATCGTTGGAAACTGTGTCCTCTCCGCTGGATTTCTCGCCTATTCCGGCCCATTCTCTTATGAGTATCGAAACCAGATGTTGTACGAAGAGTGGAAGAACAGTATTGTGGAGAAGCGTATCCCGTTGATCGAGAATTTCAAGATAGACACGCAGCTGAGCAACGACGTCGAGATCAGCACGTGAGTAATTTTTCAATTGTTCACTAAAGATCGCGAACGAAACGATCATTTTCGTCTAAGGTGGAGCTCGGAAGGTCTCCCACCGGACGAGCTGTCCGTGCAAAACGGTATTCTGACCACGAGAGCGTCGAGATTCCCCGTGTGCATCGATCCCCAGCAACAAGCTCTGAACTGGATAAAAAAGAAGGAGCAGAAGAAGAATCTGAAGGTCCTTTCGTTCACAGACCCGGATTTCCTCAAACAGGTAGAGCTGGCGATTAAATACGGGCTTCCAATTCTGTTCCAAGACGTGGATGAAGTGGACCCGGTCCTGGACAACGTTCTGTCCAAGAATATTCAAAGTAAGACACTATATTCATAAACGAAGTATCACTTGAAAATGATAAAACTAATTTGACAGATGTCAGTGGTCGGATGTTCGTTCTTCTTGGCGACAAGGAAGTGGATTACGATCCGAAATTCCGAATGTACTTGACGACAAAGATGTCGAATCCTATATTCGATCCTGCTCTGTACGCCAAAGCTACTGTGATTAATTACATGGTGACTCTAGGGGTTAATATCTCACATTCCATATCAATTATTAAAGACGAAAAATCAAAAAGGTTCACTTATCAAAGAACATTCTTGATGTACTTCTAGGGTCTAGAAGACCAACTCCTCTCTGTGGTGGTCAGAACGGAGAGGCCAGACGTGGAGGAGCAACGTGAGAGACTGATCGTCGAGACCAGCGAGAACAAGAATCTCCTGAAGCAGCTCGAGGACAGTCTATTACGTGAGATCGCCAGTAATCAGGGTAATATGCTGGACAACCTAGATCTGGTGGAGACCCTGGAGAGCACGAAGTCCAGTGCGGACGACGTGATGAGGAAGCTGTATCTGGGCGAAGTCACAGCTGCGGACGTGAACAAGCTACGAGATGGCTATCGACCAGTCGCCAAACGAGGAGCCATTTTATTCTTCGTTCTGGCTGACATGGCGACGGTGAATTCGATGTACCAGTACTCCCTGATCAGCTACGTGGAGGTGTTCGGTTATTCCCTGAAGAAAGCCCTACCCGATCCAACGCTTCAGAAACGTCTGCAAAATATCATTCTGACACTGACCAAGAACGTGTACGATTACGGTTGCACGGGCATTTTCGAGAGGCACAAGCTGCTCTTCTCTTTCCAAATTTGCACCAGACTAGAGCAGAGCATGGAGAACGTTAGTCAGAAAGAACTGGACTTCTTCATCAAGGGTAGCATCGCCCTGGAAAAGGCGACCATGGCGAATCCTACCGAGTGGCTGCCCACTACCGGGTGGGTGGACATGCTGAAGCTGAGCAAGGATTTCCCGGAAACCTTTGGGTTACTTCCAAGTGAGCTAGAGGAGTATGATGAAGAATGGGAGAAAGTGAGTTGTGATTTACAGACTTCGTTAAGGGTTTTTTCTCTCAAATTACGTCACTAATCTAATAATTATGATTAATTGGTATTTCATTTTGTACGTTAATGAGATTGTGGTATGTTTTGTCAGTGGTACGACCTTGATGCTCCGGAGTCAGTAGAATTTCCGCTGGATTATTCAACAAAACTGAAACCTTTTGAAAAACTGATGCTGATTCGGTGTTTCCGCGTCGATCGGGTCTATCGGGGTATTGTCAACTACATCAGCGAAATCATGGGCGAACAATACATCACCCCTCCTCATGTCAGTTTCGATATGATCTTTGAGCAAAGTACCCCGACGATGCCCGTGGTGTTTATCTTGAGTCCTGGGTCTGATCCGACTTCGGAACTGATGAAACTGGCGGATGGATATGGATCTGGCGGAAAATTCAAGTATTTGTCTTTAGGACAGGGACAGGAGAGTGTAAGAATATTATACCTGAGGTCTTTTAATGCCCTTTAAAGCTTTGCTTGTGATAGTTGAAACTTGAAAATACATATACCCCAATCGTCATTCCATAGACTGCGATAGAGTTATTGGAGATTGCAGTGACAAGAGGACAGTGGCTAATGCTGCAAAATTGCCACCTGCTTTTAAGCTTTTCCAAAGAATTAGAGAAACTACTGGAAAATTTGGGAAAGCCTCATCCTGACTTCCGATTATGGCTCACAACTGACCCAACTCCCAATTTCCCAATTGGGATATTGCAACAGTCTTTGAAAGGTATTAATTACTTCTTGCTTCAAACCTACTTAACGGTATAATTTAATAATTTATTACAGTGGTGACGGAGCCACCAAGTGGTTTAAAGCTGAATCTCGAGAACACCTACTTCAAAATGAGCCTTCAAACCTTGGAATCCTGTAACCACCCTGTGTACAAGCATTTAATCTACGTTTTAGCCTTCTACCACGCGGTCGTTCAAGTAAGTTCAAAGTAAATCAATTGATTTATATGGTATCGACTGACTGGAAATGAAATTAAAACAATAGGAGAGAAGGAGATACGACAAAATCGGCTGGAACATAAATTACGACTTCAACGAGTCGGATTTTAACGTTTGCACCACCATTCTGGACACCTATCTGACCAAAGCACTTCAAGCCAACGATACCAGGATACCTTGGAACAGTTTAAAGTATCTCATAGGCGAAGTACGACCCTCGATTCAGCGTTTTAAGAGTTGCTGAATAATTGATTATTTTCTAAAATTGGTATTTTCATTTTTACGAAAAATCAGGTCATGTATGGCGGAAGAGTGATAGACAACTACGATCGTAGAGTTTCTCATACTTATATGGACGAGTATTTCGGGGACTTTCTGTTCGACGTGTTCCAACCCTTCCATTTCTATCACAACCAGCACGTTGATTACGTGATACCAGAGGAAGGAGAACGTGACGATTACCTAAAGTTCATCGAGGAACTTCCGTTGGTGAACACCCCAGAAGTCTTTGGACTCCATCCAAATGCCGAGATTGGGTACTTCACACAGGCTGTAAAGGAAGTGTGGAACAATCTTATAGAGTTACAGCCGCAAACTGGTAAGAACTGACAAGACTTATTTTGGTTAGTTTAATATTAACGTTGTATTGGCACACTCTTGTGATTTTCGGTAACATTCGTAATCCTCTCTAATGGTAATTTTAGTAAACTTAAGGAAAACTAGTAAGTGAAATACCAACGGTGTTACAAATAACTAAAATATAATATCATTTAAGTTACGAGTGCAAAATTCTATTCCTATAACAGAGGTGAGCAGCACGGGGATAAGCAAAGACGAATTCATCGAGCACATCGCGAAGGAGGTGTTGGACAAAGTTCCAGCCGAGTTCGATCTAATTAAAGTGAAGAAAACTTTCGGCGTGGCTGTAACACCGATCGCGATCGTACTTTTCCAAGAGCTGGAGAGGTTCAACAAGCTAATTCGCACAATGAAGAGGACTTTGTCGCAGTTGAGGAAGGTTCTCAACTTATTTAATCCTTTTCACGATAGTGAACGGTAGCTAAAGAAATTATCGAACGGTATCAGGCCATCGCTGGTGAAATTGGAATGGACAACATGCTGGAGAACATTTCCACGGCTTTGTACAATGGTGTATTACCAACAGAATGGGCCAGATTAGCGCCAGACACGAGAAAAAGCCTTGCTGGGTGGATGGAACACTTTGAAAAGAGGATACATCAGTATGCTAATTGGGTGAGACAGAAAATAATCATGCCTGATACAACCAGATAGTACAGTCTGGAAGACAATTTTCCCCAACAAATATTGAGAATTTCCCGATAGTTCATTAGTATGTACGAGCAGTAGGTTTCTGAAACTTTTCCAGGCTAGCGGAAGCGAGCCAGTGGTTCTCTGGTTGGCTGGTCTGCACATCCCAGAGACTTATTTAGCAGCCCTTGTGCAGATGTCCTGCCGTCGAAACAGTTGGTCCCTCGATCGTTCTCTCACCTACACGGCTGTGTCAAGATTCACCAGGCCGGAACAAGTGGAGGAGAGACCAGACCAGGTGAAAAACTAGAAGACATTCATATACTATACATATACTCTAAGAGATTGATAATAATCGAAGGATAAAGCAAAGAATAATACAGTCGACAAAAGTTTCATGAACTCAACTTTTCAAAAAATTTTTTCAGGGTTGCTACGTAAGTGGACTATACCTAGAGGGTGCAAGATGGGACATGGTGGATCAATGTCTCAAGAGGTCGCGACCTAAGGTCCTTGTCGAGGAACTACCAATTCTAATTATCATTCCTATCGAGGCTCACAGACTTCGACTTCAGGTATGAAGCAATATTTAATGATAATCGTACATATATCTCGGTAACTGCACGGTTGAATCGCAGAACACTTTCAAAACCCCCGTGTACACGACGTCCAATCGGCGGAACGCGATGGGGGTGGGTTTGGTCTTCGAAGCGAACCTTGCCACGAGCGAGGACATTTCTCACTGGGTGTTGCAGGGAGTTTGTTTAATATTAAACACCGACTGAATCAGTGAAATCTAATCGAATATTGTACAGTGAATAATGTAAGTATTAAAATTATATTAAATGTACAAATGAACTTTGTATGTTTGCCTGTTATATTTACAAAATATTAATACACACTAGATAGAGGGAGGTTCCAGTATTTACAAGTCTTGTATTCAGATTGATTTATTAGCGGTCCATCACGTCTCTAAACATTTCACTTGAGGTAGACATAGGTTGTAAAAGGAACTATCGACGAAGTTCCTGAGATCCTGCCATTTCACCCACCAGTAAGACTCCAGTTGCTCGTTGCTCTTCGCCTGACCGACAAAATGTGGATCTAGGATCAGCATGTACGTGTTCTTCGTCCCCTCGTGAATCCCCATTATGCATTTACTAGAGCAATCTCGGTCCCCGCCCATCATTATCGGACTACCGAATTCCTCGAAGTGCGTTTTGATAATCGGTATCTGGCCCGATAACTCCCTGCCGCTTGGTACATGAATAATCTTGCTGAGTACCTCGTACAAATGATTCAACGTGAGGCATACCTATGAGTCATCAGCGGACGATTTAGTTTCTTTTAGGAGTTAATCATCAATCGTATCGCAAACATCTTATCGTTTCAATGAAATTCCATTCTTTTTAATATAATTTTTCAGTGGAATAGCAAATTGAAGAAGCGAAACGTGACTTCGTTTCTTTTTTCTTTCACACGAGAAGAAATGACGAGGGATTTGCGGAACAATCAATGGGGGGGATGGTAAGTGTCCAGCTTACTTCGAAACTACCTATCCATTCTCTCGATCCGATAAAGCATCCCTCCTTGTCCTCCAACGCGACAAGTATTTCCTGTATACATCTGATGCTCGGAACAGATTGCTCCAACCTCCGGTTCTTTATGATCCACGAGCAGATCGTTTGCAGCGTTCTGTATCCGCACCCCCAACCCTGTACACCAAACAATTCGTCGTTCCAGAGGAAGAACTCCTATCTTAACGATGTAGATTCTAAACATCGAGCTACCAACTGTGCTCTTGATTTAATAAAAGAAAAAAAAGATCATTACAGACCTTATCATTAAAGCCATCACAACCGTAATGCCAGTATTCATAATCGCCCCTGATCAAGAAGGATTGACCTGGTTCTGGTGGCAAAAGTTCCCGATGAACGTTTTTCAGCAAGCTACTCGTATAATCAGCGAACATTATGCGATCGTACGGTCAGCAACGTCGAAACCTATACATTCATTCAACAAAGAATAACATCTCCTTTCCTTACTGTACTCATTGTAACGATAAGTTCTACGAATAATCTATCCACGTTCACTAGCAATGGTAACTTATATTACTTCATCGACTGTGCAACGTTTCACAGACGAAAGGAAGATATTTATGAGCCTTTTGAGGTTTAAAGCCAAGTGTTGAACGATTTGTTACGATCACAGAACAACGAGTGCTACAAGGTTCTGTGTAAATCGGTTCAAAAACCGCTAATCAGTCCGCGCGACGCGCCAGATGGTAATTGGAGCGATTTCCCTTCGTATTTCCCGGTTCACGAGTGAGTATATTCGCGGCCATTCCAGTATTTTTCTAACCACCTAACCTGTCCAGCGAACGCTCGAGCATTATCGTGTCTGGTAACGATTCAGTGAAAGCTCTCTCGCTCGCTTTCTATTCGGTCTCATCTTTCGCGGGCATCACCTTTGTGCGCGTCTCTTTATCTCGGGGAGGACAAACGGACAAAGAAACCCGTGTAATTTACATCGGTAGGCTTAAATGTTAGCCATTAAGTCGTGGCGTCACCTGGAAACACCGTCGGATTGTCAATTGTTTTTCTCCGCGAGCCACGGACCAGCCATCGAGAAATTCAAGCTCGGTACCCCAGGTACCCAGTCACGCGCACTTCGTTACGCGTTTCTGTTGGTTGTGATCAAGTACGGTATACTCGGCTACACGTTCCGTCGTTACTGGGAACAGAAGCAGAACCGCGCGAAGAAGGAGCCCGAAGTGATACGCGAGAAGACAGCGGATGGCCCTGCGTAAATGGACACTGGGTATCTCGTAGTGCAGCAAAATGCCAATCGGGCCGCGAGAACCAGCACGGGCAAGACAAAGAGACAAACAGTGCTAAGACAGTGGAAAAAAACTGCGCGCGGTGTATGTGGTACAGCCACGGTACACGGCGGAGAAGACAACGGAAAGACGTGAAAGACAAACGATTATCCGCGGGAGGATGAGAATGGAGATTTCGTCCACGGTATGCTCGTGATCCCGATATAATATCAATTCGGGTTACCGTTGCTCTCGGGCTGATTCATCGTTTACGTTGCCGATCTGACAGCTACACACAATAGCCCACACTTATCGATTTTCTACCTGTTATGCGAAAGATTCGGATTTATTCGCGCGTGACCGGTTCCCCTGTTAATTTCCGTGTGTCTGCTTATGATTGTCCCTTGTCACTTTCCATCGGGACTGAAGGTCGAGACTCGGGAATACTGCCAAACGATTTAGGTTATGTTTATTATGTCACTGAACAGGGATTATAGATGTTTATGCGCGTTTAGGTTTTCGGTGTGCGGTTCAGGGTGTCGGGAACTGAGGACAGACTTGTCCTCCTACTTGAGAAGTTCGTTGAATGTGAATATAAGATAAGAGGGGTTTTCTGAAGCTTTGCTGTCGTATTTGTTTTATTGTGTTTTTGTTTATTGTATAGGCTGTGAATGTATAGTGTTTGCAGTTTAGTAGAGTGATGAATATTGCTCCTAAGGTATTAGAATGTGTATATTGTGTATTTATTTGATAGTGAAAGCTCGAGGGATGGTTCGAGAGTAACTTAAAAAAGAAAGCTGAAATTATGTATGGTGCTGTGCGTGAACAAGTCTCTGAAAGCTGGTTACATACATATGATTTAAGCAGTACAATGATACCTAATGTCAGTTCACCGATGAACGATGAGGAGCATTTTTGCAAGTTTATCTTATACAAGGAAATTAAGGATTCAAGGTATGTAATGCCTTGAAAGCTGTTCAATTAGAATGTATGTTGTCAGTTAAGGGTGGTGATTTTGTCTGTTAAATCACCAGATCTAAAATAACACAAGTAACTCAGCATCATTGCACTAACTTATTCCTGTTTTTCAGAGTACGAATATGGGATGTAGTCATATTGATGCCGAATCTCTTGTTTCTCTTATTCATAGCAGTGAGATTTAACAGAGCAAGGCTTAAATTAAGAGCAACGAGTAGTCCAATATTTTTAGCATTTTATGGACTTGTCATTTGTAATGTAGTTATCTCAGTGATACGATGCGTTGTTTCAATGACTGTGAATGCAGCAGCTACGGTCGGTGGTAAAGTCGACAAAGTACTATGGGTTACAGTTCGATTTTTCTTATTATCCACGGAAATGAGCGTGGTGATCTTTTGTTTGGCTTTCGGTAAGTTTATTTTTATCGTTTCGAATCGATTACCGAAGATTTCGTGTACATTTTTACATCCCTTTCAAAGGACACTTGGATAGTCGTTCAAGCATTCGTAGAGTACTACTAGCAACATCGTTCATAGCACTCGCTTTTACCATAACTCAAGGAACATTGGAGCTAATTTTACCCGACGATACATTCCGCATTCCCAGTAAAAATTTTTACGTGTTCGGTCATGGGGGTATGATGTTCTGGTTTTGCAGCAGTCTTGTTTTCACAGTGGTAAGAGTATATCTAGAAAATACTAACACCAACGATTATAAATTATTCTAACGCTGACCATAATCTTATTGCAGATATATCTTTTTATATTAATACTGCCATGGACTCGGTTAAGAGACCGTTTAACCCTCCCAAGTACGTCAATATATGCAGTGAATCAAACTATACCTCATAAGAACAATAAATCTTTTACAAACTCTTTTCTATTACAGCAAGAAAAAGTTTTTACATTTACGCTGGTACATTAGCCATGCTAGACTTAGTACAATCCGTCGGTGCAGGCTTCTTAAATTACACACAGAATCCCGTGGGATTATGTATCGTGGATTTCACAGCAGCCCTCTATCTGACACTCTTTACACCATTGGTTTATCACACATTCCTATCAGAATTTTTCGGGTAAGTCTATCTACATAAACACATGAGGGACATATATGTACACAGTGTCTATCTAACTAGTTCCATTTCAGGATTTCGCAACCATCAATCATGTTCTCCTACAAGGCACAAGTGGACGATGCCATGGATGAGGACACAGTGTCTCTACCGCACCAGCAGAGTTTCTCCTCGCTAAGAACAGACAGCGATTACATATACCAGGTCCATACACCGTCTATTCACAAGCCCTTATACGATTCTCAGATATTAAAATCATCCCCCCTGAAACACAAGGCCTCCTTTCACTCTCTAGCATCCCCAAGAGATTCGAAAAGTGCTAGTGGACACACCTACGAATCCTCAGCCGCTTTGTACCGTTCCACGTCCGGCATTAAGAGCTTCAACCGGCTCGGCGCAGACAAAGGTGGCGCGGTCATGAAAAACTATCCCCTCGCGAGATCAGACAATTTCATTGACTCGAAGAAGAGCTCACCCGATCTGAGATTCCCTAACACCGCTTGGAAAAGCAGCTCCATATCACAGATCAAGTACGGCGGGCCCAGTAGTGTCTCCAACCTGCTATTCCCGGCGCACACCGCCAGTAACTTTCTTTACAAGCCGGGCGCTAACAACAGTAACACGAATTTGTTCTCCATTATCAGAAAAAGTAGTCTGGAACGCGAGAGGAAAGGCTCTGATGGAAATGTCAATCAGTTCGTTGAAATTCCACCGCTTGAGAATACTTTGCAGTCCATTTTGGACAGTGGTCATCACGACCCTAACGTGAAAGATAGTGCTCTCGGCCAGGAGTCTGTAGACCTAGCTCAAACTTCGCAGTATATTTCCGACAGCAAAGAATCGACACCTTTGAAGCCGTTCACTGACACTAAAACTTCGGAAATTGATGTAGACGAAACATTAGACTCTACCGATGTCTCGGGTGTTTCCGAGAAGTTGCTTTCCAAGCCCGTTTTCGTGACCAAAGACGCGTTCAGAAAACGAAAAAAAGAGCCGAAGAAGAAAGAGTCGGGCGGTCTGAGTGATTATTTATTGTCTTTAACGGTATCGCGTAACCACAAGTCTCCGAGAGGCGGTGAAACTGATCCCAATCCATCCCCTTCTGATCAAAAAACCTATACACAGACTGAATCGTTGTAAATATTCGTTTGGAGTCATTGATGTAAAGTCTAAGTCATTAGTACCTGTACAGGGTGTCCCATTTAATTTCATCGACTAAGCTATTTCCTCTGTCCTCGATAGTTCGATACGATTTTTTTTGTTATTACTATTTTGTAACGTCGACGAGGCAAGTAGATAGAAATGGAAATCACTTTGATTTTTATGTAACAATGAAATATCGAGGATGAAGGAACCATTCCAAGGTGATCAAGTTAGATGGAACAACCTGTATACAAGGGACGTTTTAATTACTTGAGAGTTGTTTTTAACAATCGGAACGAAGTCACGTATGTTAACGATTAGATGTATCATAGTGTAATATAATAGAGAAGCGCACAAATGCTTTATTATATCTGTATATATGGCATGTTTAGACTTAATTAAACTTATTAATGTAGCCAAACGTACATGGTTTTATTTATTTATAACACTAACTTGGCACACAGTGTATTAACACCAATCATTTAATTTTCTGTTGCGTTGATACGGTACTCGAGGCGAATACAGTCTGCTTTCTTTCATTTTACCACGAATCAATTGCACCGCGCCTTACTGTTTGGCAGTTTTATGCACTCGAATTGGAAGATATTTATGATATCACGTTTGTTGTGTGTGCGATTTCATTGTTTCTTTAACAAATTGACTACCATATCATACTTGTACAGAAGACAGAATTTACGTTAGCACGGGTCGAAGCCACTAACAACAAAACACTAATTCTCTGACAACACAATTGCATTTTTAAATCTTATTTCGCCGAGGAATAAAATAACCAGTTCTGATCTTCTAATTCTAGTGGATACTGATATGGGAGTCAACGTGTTCGTATGTAGAGTCATTGCAAAAGTCTTGACAGAAATATCTTTAAAAAGTGGAAGAATTAATATATAGAATAAATTACATCGCTCGGGGCTTTTGCAAAGACTGTATACATTGCCTTTAAACAATACACAAGCTTTGTCCGTTTTTTCAGTAGATATAAGGTTTTTTTTAGAGGCTCAGGGACGCTTTACAAACCCGACTGATTTTCAAGAGACATGCGTGTCGTCGGTATGACCAAGAAACCGAGAATCAAACAGCTTTCTCTCGAACAAGTGCAACACGAACTATTCTTCTGTTCACAGAACCACAGCGTTTACGATTCCACCCAGTTCGACACAAACTCGACGCCGGTGAATCCACTCTACGCAGCGTCTCTGCAAAGCCCGGATAGCATAACCGGTTACAGTATAGACAGCCAAGAGGGCCAGACCCAGGCGAACGGTTACCAGCAATGAACCTCCGCTTCGCCGAAGAAAAAAAAACAGAGGCATTTAGAAGAACAAATTATCGGATTCACCAGTCGTCCAACGATCAAGTCTCATTTCCTGAAAGAGTGCAATCCACACACTGAACAAGGTGTTCCAACGTCACGAGCAGCTTGGAAGGAAAACCATTTGGTGTACGAGATATCATGGGAAGAATCTAGTCGCTCTCGAATCTTTTAGGGCAATAACATCGAAGAAATATTTTTGATTTCATTGTGATAGAAAGGCATCTTTTAACGAAGCTATCGAAAGAATGTCAACGATAGAAGAGACCGTGGAATAATGTTCGATCTTAGTTCACCGCTAGAAGACCGTGTCTTGGTACTTAAATTAGAGAATCTTCTCTACGGAGTGATCTGGATCAGAATTTTTTGGAAGGATACCACGTCGACATTTGAATTGCATTGATCAACTGGCTGCTAACGTTATCTTGTGCAGGATGTTCCGGGATGGAACTCAACAGACTTTCAATCAGGCTACGTAATGGATCATCCTAAACCGGAAAGATCGTATACTACTTTCTCTAGATGGCCACCATTGACTGTGCTATCCTGGATTTCTTATTCCTGTAACAAGAGGAACCCCAGCTCTTTGTCTCTTTAACAAAATTCCATAGAACAATAAGGTATGCGACCTGATAGAGCATCTAGCCAGTTTCATCCACGGAACACCTAACATTTTCCATCACAGACGTCATGAATTGACTTCGGGAAACTTGCTTATCGTTTTCTCCGTCCTCTTCACCAAAGAGACCCGCCAACTGCCGCGGGTCGCTTCACACACAAAGACACATTACATACATACAGACCACACATGCAAAGCGCCGAAAATCCCCTCGCTATTTTCCTACTTTTGCAATTAAGGAATCGCTGGAACGACGCATGGACAATAGGAGTCGTTGAGGATCGTGCCGCGAGGATCGAAAAACATAATTTAGAAATTAAGTGGGGAACCTAATCTTCGATGGTCCGCTAACTAATTTACGAAGACTCCATCCATCGTATATGTATATACACCCTGTACTCTAGTGTAAAGGATCGTGTTATTTATATACTAATATATACATTATATTTATCGATATTATATGTCCGTACTTGTATTGAGCTAGCTCGAGGCGGAGCAGGGCGGACGGATGGTCCGCGGGCAAATGGCACCACGTCCGCCTGTTTTCAATTTGATACATAACGAATTAACGAGAAAGCGGCGGTAAACGGGAGGCGATCATCGCGGTGATCTAGACGACACTCCGAGGGTGTTTCGCACTAATGTACAATATTCCACGGATTAGTGACTTCTTTTGGGTAGAAACAATGGAAAAAATCGAGTTTTCTGTTTCTCTAAGACATAAGTAAAGTGGAATCAAAGATTTCCAGTGACTTCCTTAAAAACCTATTCATCATGTGACATCATCAGATATCGTAATATCTATTAGAGCAAATATAGAGTAATAGGAAAGGTGAAGATAAAACTGTAACTCGAGATAGAAGGCGTTCACTAATCCATGGAGTATTTCTATTAATATGAAAATTGTTAACAGAGTCAATCGACACCTTTACGTGCCCCAGAACGAAGGTATAAGTGTTCCACAGATCGTCGAATCTTGAAAAGAGACCATCTGGCCAGCACTGAGCCATGGAATAGACGTTCCACCGAAAGAAAACAGTCCAAAGTGTTCACTAATCCGTGGAGTACCGTATCATCCTTGGAAGCATTCAGATTCGTTTAAATCCTCGTTACACGTCTGATTTTTCTACGATTTGTATCTGTTTTTCCTGAAAGGAGCAAAATTCTCGTCGAAACCTGGCTTCAATGGAAAGACAGGTTTTTGACGATCAGGGGAAAGGGAAAGGGGTATCGATATTAATACGATCGTAAATATTTTTTAGCGGTCCAATCCGATCGGATTTTGTAAATACGTAAATGAAAAAGAAAAATGAATTTCGTCGGGCGACACGCAACGAGCCCCCACTGTCAATTGCGCGGGTTGGTTTAAAGTCACTTCGAGTCACTCGTACTTGTACTCTACAGGCTGATTATATCTGTAACTTCCTGGCAATGTGATCCTCTTTTGTAATTGCCAGGCGAGGATAAGTAAAAAAAAGAAAAATGGCAATACGCGTAACACGATTATATATTTAATGAGAATAAAATTACATTTCACTCGAGCCTTTCGACCGTCTCTATTTTTGTAAAATTTGTCACACGTTCATTCCTTTTTAAGTAGACCTCGATATCCTTTCCGGTTTAATTGAATAAAAAACACCGACCGTACGTTGACCATAGGAGGGACAGTAGAAGAGCATAGGGCAAATCGATAACAATATTGTCTTTACCGGGGAACCAAAGCCTCTGTCTATCATCCCTACTGCTATCTTTAGCGAAAGGAACAGAGTACAGTCAATAAAGAGCAACTGCAGCTTTGGTTGCGATATCGATACCGTCTGTTGAGTAGAATTCATAATAGCTTCAACTTCAAGTAGTTATATCGATATCTTGTGTTTTATTCTTTTCAATTTAAACATTAAAGGTAAAACAAACAGAAGTTAAAGGTTTAATCGCGAAATTGTAGAACTTTTAATCGAGATGAGATCAAACAAGAATTTTAATCGAAAAAAAAGGGGTTGAAATGTCAGAAGCTGTTTCGTATAATTCTAACGGAGACTTTCATCAGGACGTAGTGCACCGAAAATATCCTGAAAACGGCTGGCCGGGAGATAGATTCGATGCACTTTAAATTTGCACTCTGATAGGGCCGCAGCCGTCGTTCTATAAATACAAAGTGCATGCATGCGCGTTATTCGCGCTCCAACTTGCAGCACCTTTTCATGGACAAGGCTGCCGGTGCAACAATTACTCACGGCACACCGATCACTCGGTCTTTCCATTCAACTGGATCTCATTGCACAATATCGGAGCGAGGTTTTTGCGTGACCGGGCGAGAAAAAGAGTGCATCAACTCCCCTCGATCGAGCTGTTTACGAAACCGAGCTCTCGAGTTGTTTTCAAATACTTTTTCAAACGAACGGCTCCCTTGAATTATTTGAAAAAACACGTTTTTCCAATTATACGAGAAATATTCTCGATAGTGTCCTCGCTTAAAATTTAGATACACTGCGTGGCATAACTATAAAACCACTCGAAAATATTCAATTCTTACGTATTGTGGTTGAAATAAGAACAAACCAAGTATGTAATGTCTGAAATCGTGTTGGAAAATGTTTCTTCAGAAAAGGATAGATTGTATTCCCTAGGAAATAAGTGGTTCGTTTTCATTTTAACCACAATAAGGATTGAAAATTTGACGGTGGTTTTATAGTTACGCCACGCAGTGTATAGTAGACGAATTTAATGAAGTATTCGGAAATAACTTCCAGTCCAGACAGAATTCAAGGGATAACAATAAGGAAGAATGTAATGTTAAATCTGCAAAATTCAGACGCAAATTCAGCCACCCCCCGCGTTGTAGCGAATTTACTTCCCGCGGTTCGGCGACGACGACGAACTTCAATAATTCACGGCGTCCGATCGATAACCTTCGAATTATCCGTGAAATATTTACCTGCCGACCGGTGGTCCCATTCGACAAGCAATAACGTTAATTGCCACCAAGAGAGTCACGAGTTACGGCGGTTTGATCGACAGAATATCCGCCGTATAACAGGGAAAATAAATAGACCAGTAATGGGTCCTTGCAGATTTTTTCCAAAAAAAAGGTTTTCCATAAAA